TTGCCTTCATAAAGATGAATGAAAACATATAGATTAATGAAATCCTGCCATTTTAGGAGCAATGGCGAAAGGGAAATAAATTCATTAAGAAAAAGCTTTCGTGTTCAAACAAGTGAAATAACTCATTGCAGAAAAACCAAGGATAGCATAACAATCATAGTAAACAGATGAAAAATAGAACAAAATCAGACTGACCGTTAAAATCCGAAACTTTGGCCGCCTTAACGACAATTGTGGGGTTGTTAGTGGAATCAAACGAAGCAGCTTCATCGCCCCACAAAGTTAGACGAATAAGCGTTCCGGAAGAATCTACAACGCCAAGCTCTCGCTTACGAAGTTCTCGCTGAGACGCCTTGGCCATTATTGTGGTAAGTTCTGATGCCTCATGAACGACGCCAACGATATCTATATTAAATGCGGACAAGGGGTCACATAAAAGTATAGTGAATAGAGAATAATGGAAAACTCCACTAATATTGGCTAAATACAAGGCAGATAATAAAAGGGTTTGAGAAAATCATAGTTATAAAGTAGGCTGAAAATAAGAACGAGAAAGTAGCTCGATAGGTATTAAATGCAAAGCATGACGATTGTGCTTAAAAATTTTATTTAAACCGATAATTTGTGTGGCATGTGCGAAACACCAGCATATGAATCATTCCATACTATTTGTACGAGAAAATAAATAAATGATATCCCTTGCAGCTAGATAAAACTAAGGTATTTAATGCTGCCTAATAACCTAGTTAGATAAATACTTAGAATTTAAAAAGCAGTTAGAACTGCCTTGAAAAAATGTTTAAATTCAGTTCGCCACCCTCATCACGCCTATGGAAAATGTCACAGCTTCCTACTAAAGAGCTATCTATATAAGGTATGGAAGAAAGTCTAGACCTGGGATAAGTAAATTAGAATATCACAAATTAATGGCTAGTTTAGTATCCAAATGAAAAAGGAAAGTTTGAGGCAGATGAGCTGTCCACCTTGAATATTTCATTACTAAGAACAATTCTGCTGAATGCGACGAGACCAAGAATACAACCTTGATGAAAGACACATTAGCAAGGTAAGCACAAGTAAGAAAGTTTGACTAAACTTTCGCAAACTTAAGGTATTTAGGAACAAACGTTATTAAAAATAAATAGTGTAGAACTAACCGGCAAAGGAGCCTGGAGAAATTGAGTCTAATTTATCGATTGCTGTAAAGTTGAAATGAGCGGTAGGCAGATCACCGGACTCTGAAGAGTCATCACAAGTAACGATTTGAGAATCAGCATTCAAAGTAATCTCATATTCATTATTAGTGGTATTAAACTGCTTATTCGCCGTTTTAAGGGTGCCCCGAGTAACATAATATACCTTGTTAACCTAAATAAGAATGAACTAATAAGAAAAGGAGAAAATATGGAAGGTGGAGAAACAATTACTTTGCATAACGTTTTTTTCAAAAATACGCAAAGCCAGTCTACTTTTAGTGAGTGTCAAGTCTACGGAAAATCAAATAATGAAGAAAAATAAAACTACTGTCTAAATATTAAAAACGCTATCAAGAAGCGTAGCGAGTGATAATGATAAAATGTATGCGAACAGCCTAAGCGCCAATCATCGCGAAAAACAAAAGTAAAGATAATTAAAGCTCAGACGTGGCATAAGAATAAGGAGACAAATTCAAAGCATTTTATACGGATATAATTTTTACCTCAATAACATCAAAAAATTTATCTACTTCAGCATTAAATGCAGTCACTCGAATTTCACCCGATTCATCCAGCAGTGTGAAATTGAATA